GGCCAGTCCAGCGATGCATGGTTTGGGGATTGTGACGCGCGAAGGCGGCAAAAAATCGCTATAATAGGCGAAGAATGGTCGGTCTTTTACGTGCTCATGAGGTGCTTAGTAAGGAATGCCAAAAAAAACTCTTACACATACTCTTTTGTTAAACTCATAACATTTTGTTACAATTTTCAAACGGAACCGAGTCGCATATGGCCTTGGTTACTGTACAACAGCTAGTTTGGGAAATGTTGCCTTCCGCCAGATCCAATCAAAGACGCAGCAAGAAGCTGACAGGCTTGGAATAAACTTTCTCGCTACGTCAACTGGTCTGTCTAGGTCGGCAATAGTCTACTTGCTAGTGCCTATCGTGTTCTCCACGATCACCCAATTCCAATGATATGCACAGCTCTGCTTGAAGTTGTCAATACACACTTCCGCAATTTTCAGAATCTGATTGGTATATCTTCCAGAATTGATACAAGCAGTTTTATAGTCCAACAAGATACAAAATGTGATTCGTAACGTAACTTGTTTCCCAAGTAATCTCGCACGCGTCTCGTTTCATCCCGAGACGCAAACGGAACCGAACCGAATTCGGTGAACACTCCTCGAGTCCGAATCCAGCACCTTCTCGAACGCGCTTTGGTCTCGAACCACATTTTCCACCGTCGATCTCATTCTCGATGCTTCTCCTTCTCTCTTCCTCCTTCTAGAACATTTCTTATCGATTTCTCTCCCGCTTCTCACGCCGTAGCTTCTATTCCCCACCGTAGGCCGATTTCCACCGTCTTCGATCTAGAATCTCCCACGCGCTTCCATTCCGCCATCATTCCGCATTTCGCCCTAGGTTCCGTTGTTTGGCGAACCATCCCTAACAATCTCCCATGTGGTTGGTCAACCATGAACACCACTCGCACTGCTCCCCTGCTCCTTGTAGCCTTCATAGGGTCTAAGTCGGCTTCATGCTCCCCAGCAGCTCCTGCACCTTGAACTTCTGTGTGCGTGTCTTGAAGTTGAGCGCCTTTGCATTCAAACCTTGAGAGATTTTCTTAAGCCTCTCGCTTCGCCTTGGCGTCTTAACACTCAACACCTCTCGGGACTCGTACCCCTTAAAATGTTTCTCTTTTGTAAGCACTCGCCCTTTTGCAGTTGCATTCGCCTTTGATCCATTCACCATGATGTCCCCTTTCGCAGCTTCAACTTCCTCACACTTCGCATTTGCTGCTTCGTCTTCAACCACGATCGCTGCTGCAAAAGTGTTGACACCGTCTCCATCTCCACCGTTCACTACTGCTGCCTCCATGGTGACTATCTCCTCTCCATGCTTCACTTCTGGCTCCACACTTGCTGCCGTATCCTCCGAGACCTCACTTTCATCAACCTTAGTCGATAACTCCTCCAATTCTCTCATCTCAGGTTACTCAGGGTCCTCATAGATTTCATCGCGATCAAGTTCATCTCATAGAACTCGTCGCTGAAATAACCATCCGCATACTTCTCCCACTCAGGACCAAACACAGTAACCTCGCCACTGTCATAATTTATCTTGCACCCCAACTCATCAAGCTGTGACTGACTCATCAAATTCACCTTTGCATCCTCAACCAGCAATACATTCTCTAGTTTCACCTCTCCGTACGGACTCTGCAGCACCACATCACCCTCTCCTGTCACTGGTAACTTCCCATTATTACCTTGCAGTATATAATCCTCACTGGACTCCCTCACGTTCTCCATCCAGTCTGACCTGAACGTCATGTGTCGCGTGCATCCACTATCCATGTACTATGCCGTCTTCTCACGTCCATCCGACTGTCGAACATCCTTCGGTAGACGCACCACGTTCGCAAGGTGCGATCCTCCCAAAATCACATCCTCCTATTCTGCTTCTGCTACATTCACCTTTGCCGCCGCGTTCCTCTGCTGCGACGGACCCTTGTAGCTCCTGCTATTCGGTTTGGAGTAGCACTCTGCGGCACGATGTCCGTAGCGCCCACAATAATCACACTTGTCGCCAAAACCTCATTTCCGCTGCCACTCCGCTCCCCCATTTACTCCATTTTCGTTCTCCACCGCTTTGCCTTTGAAGTTCCTACTTCGCAGAAAGCAGTTTATCACTTTATGCCCTCTCTTTCCACACTGGTAGCACGCTCCAAACGCCTTCGTTGCATTCACCAAAGCCGGCCTTGTCACAATTAGCAGTAGAAAGTAAGAATGAAGAAAGGAGGGGTTGCACTAGCAGCAGTTGGCATACATATAGGAAACCCTAATTGGGTTGTACTCGCTATAGAGTACCCCACTGCAGGCTAGACAATTATAACATTCTGACACACCCCCATAGCCAAAGTGGGGTGTAATCAGCACAATGAGCAAGCTAGTGGTAGTCACAGCGGGCAAGTGAGGAGGAGGAGGGACTGTGAGAGGAGAGAAGATGGGAGACGACGGCTGAAGCTGCAGACACACGGGCAACAGGAGCGGCTGGCACAGTGGCTACCGGGACAGCGCCCCGGACTACTGGAGTAACTGGCTCACGGGCTACGAGGAGCTACAGGAGCAACGGACCCACGGGCGACAGGCGCAGCAGGCTCTCTGGGCTACCAGGACAGCGCCCCGGACTACAGGTGCTGCGGACGACAAGACGGCAGCCTCCCCAAACAGTCCCACCCCCCCTGACACACACCCCCTGCTTCACCCCTAGCTCCACTCCCCCTTCACCCCCCTAGCACCACTCCTTCGGCTCCCCACACACACACCCCCCTGAGCGGCAGCTGCAGCAGCGGGAGACGGAGGAGGAGGAGGAGTAGGGGACGGCGCACACAACGGGCACCCCCACAACCGCCACCCCCACACTCCCCACCCCCAAACCCTAAAACGGGTGGCACGGGGAAGGAGCGCGGGGGACGGCGAGGGGGAAGGCGCGCGGCCCCCAGGGCGCCACCATGGGGCAGCGAGGGGCCGGGCGCGGCCCCCAGGGCGCCGCGACGGGGCAGCGGGGGGGTCGCGCACGGCTCCAGGGGCGGCTCGCGGGTCCCCGGGGGCGACGCGAGGGTCGACGGGGGTCGCGTGCGGGTCCAGGGGCGGCTCGCGGGTGGGTCGACGGAGTGCCGCACGTGGGTCCAGCGGGGCAGGGCGAGAGCCGACGGGGGGCGCGTGCGGGTCCCCGGAGGCGACTCGAGGGTAGACGGGGGGGCCGCGCGCGGGTCCAGCGGGGCAGCGCGAGAGCCGACGGGGGGCGCGCGCGGATCCCCTGAGGCGACGCGAGGGCCGACGGGGGGCGCGCCATGCAGAAAACCGCCGCGCGCCCCGAGCGCACGGCAGGATGAGAAACGCCAGAAAAAAAAAAAAAAAAAAATCGCCGCGCTCGTCGCGCACCCGAGGCGCACGACAGGAAGTAAAGCAGCGGAAGCATTAGGTGGTGGGCCCACCCACAGGATCGACCCAAGGGGGTCGACCTGCTCTGATAGCATGTCACAATTAGCAGTAGAAAGTAAGAATGAAGAAAGGAGGGGTTGCACTAGCAGCAGTTGGCATACATATAGGAAACCCTAATTGGGTTGTACTCGCTATAGAGTACCCCACTACAGGCTAGACAATTATAACATTCTGACAGGCCTATCCTCGTCGAATTCCTTAGCTGCTGCTGCCGCTTTCTTTTTTCCTCATCTCCTTCACCGTCTCAAGCGATTGCAGAATCTCTTGCAGCTTCGTCAAACTCCCAGGCGGTTCGTACGTAAACATACCAATGTCGGATTCCCACTCGGGAAGGCCTTGAATTATGTAGTCGATCATCTCGTGCTCCGTCTCCGCGGCTCTCATCACCCGCAAGTCGTCGTTGTAGCTTTTCGCCCTATTGGTGTAGGTGATGATTTTCTCGCATTTCTCCATGCTCAGCATCAGCAGTTGCTTCATAATCGCCTTCTTGTTGACATCGTTGATGCCTATGTACGTGGATTCCAGGTACTCCCACGCTCGTTGTGAAGAGTTCCGCTCCTCTGCAAACTGGTCCAATTCCACTGCGACTCCATCGGCAACTGAGTGACAAAGCTGAAAGAACGCTTGCTTACTTTGCTTTTTAAACGCCGTTATTTTCTCCTTCGTATCCGTCGTGGAAGGCGCAACCCCCTCCTTCATCTCCTCGTCTGGACGGTTGCATGGCAAGAGGTCAACCTCCTCCGCCCTCCGAATGAACTTCTTCCGCCACACGTTGTAGTTGCTGTCGTTAAAGCGTTGGGCTTCACTGAGCCCGATCGTCGGTTTCGCCACCAAACGGCCGCTCGCAAAGGCCTCGAGAAGAGCCTTCAACTGCGGGTCTTCAAGACTCATGCTGGAACCCGAACTCGCCTCGTCCGTCATGGCGTAGGCGTGAATAACTCCTCTTCTCCACTAATTTCACTTAGCGCACCAAGTGAATTCACGACGATCGACGCGCCCGTTCGCCAAGCTCTGATACCAGTTCTAGGTCGGCAATGTTCTACTTGCTAGTGCCTATCGTGTTCTCCACGATCACCCAATTCCAATTATGTGCACAGCTCTGCTTGAAGTTGTCAATACACTTCAGCAATTTTCAGAATCTGATTGGTATATTTTCCAGAATGAGTACAAGCAATTTTATTGTCCAACAAGATACAAAACGCGATTCGTAACGTAACTTGTTTCCCAATTAATCTCGCGCGTGCCTCGGTTCCCTGAGTCGCAAACGGAGCCGAACCGAATTCGGTGAACCCTCCTCGAGTCCGGAACCAGCACCATCTCGAACGCGCCTAGGTCTCGAACCACAATTTCCCCCGTCGATCTCATTTTCGATGCTTCTCCTTCTCTCTTCCTCCTAGCACATTTCTTCTCGATTTCTCTCCCGCTTCTCACGCCGTAGCTTCTATTCCCCACCGTAGGCCGACTTCCACCGTCGTCGATCTAGAATCTCCCACGCGCTCCCACTCCGCCGTCATTCCGCATTTCGCCGGAGGTTCCGTGGTTTGGCGAACCATCCCTAACAGACTGTTTCCGATGCACGCATGGCGGGTCGAATTCGCGTGCTGAACGTGGTGGCAGCGGTGGCCATCGTGGTGATTCTGTACTATGTGGGTCGGCCGCTGTACTGGGAGATGGAAGCGAGGTTGCAGGAGTACCGCGAGGGCCTCTCGGACGCCACTGCCGCTGGCACGACGGGAACAGCAGCGCAGGGAGGAACCATTCGGCCCGTCGGCAACGCGCGAGGTGCGGTACGGGTTTCGAGGTTGCCGGGATGGTGAGTCAGTGAGTTTAAGGCTTCATCGCACTCGTGGCTTGCCGCTCGGGCCGCTCACCCGCTCTAGTCCCACCCTCCCCTACCTAGTCTCCACCTCCACCATCTGAATTCCCACGCCCTCAGTAGTCCTACCTTCGAAGGTCCCCCTCTGTAGTCGAGCCCTCTCTAGTCACACGCCTCTTTTTCCCTAACCCCTCTCAACTCACCCTCCCCTCGCAGCACCCCTCTCTCTGCGCGTGCCTTCACCCATCGCAGGGTAGAGGCAGCAGCACGTGAAGGCGTGGCCAAGGCAGCATGTGCTCCGCTCCTTAATGCCCTTCACACTCACGCTGCTCACCCTCTCTACTCACACACCTTCTTCTCTCACCCTCTCTGGTCACACACCCTCTACACTCTCCCGCAATCTGTCTCCCCCTGTCCCCTGTCTACCCCCTCCTCCTCTCTTCTCCATGCGTGGAGGACTCGAGACAGCAGCACTGCAAGGCCCGCCTGAAGGAAGCATCTCTTCCCTCCTGCCTCCTGCCTCCTGCCTCCTGCCTCCTGCCTCCTGCCTCCTGCCTCCTGCCTCCTGCCTCCTGCCTCCTGCCTCCTGCCTCCTGCCTCCTGCCTCCTGCCTCCTGCCTCTTGACGTCCTTCACTTTGAAGCTACCCACCCTCTCTACTCACACACACCAGTCGCACGTCTCTCTCTCGCCACGCGTGCAGGGCTGGAGGCAGCCGCGCTGCAGGGGCTGCCCAGGGAGGCGTCCATGGCGCTCATGGCGCTCGACGTGGTGGACCCCGACGCTGCCTCGCCCGCCACCCCCGCTGCAGCACACCACGTCCCGGCTGGACCAGTTGCAGCAGCGGAATCAGCTGGAGCGACAGGGTCGGGAGGGGCAGACGAGGCAGGAGCAGCGGAAGGAGAGGTAGGGGCAACAGAAGAGACAGGAGCATCAGGGGCAGCAGGGGCAGCAGGGGCAGGGGGCAAGGAGGAAACGCCAGGCGCAGCAGGAGTATCCCTGGATCTCCCTTCAGACGCACCTGCAGCAACGGCACTGGGAACGACTGCTGGAGAAGTGGATGCAGGCGCGACTTCCACGGATTCATCTGGGGCAGGCGCATCTGGGGCGGGGCCATTCGCGAATGGCGTGCGCCCCATTCTGCACGAGGGCAGGCCGCTGCTGGCCGCCCTCAAGCGCGAGATCTGGGAGAAACCTCCCCCAGGCAGCGCGGTGCCAGCGAGGGCCGAGTTCGCCCTGCGGCGGGAGATGGTGGAGCAGCGGCAGCGCGAGGGCGTGGTGGTGGTGACGTTCGCCAACCACGCGTTCCTCGACTTCGTGCTCAACTGGGTGCGCCACCTCACCGACCTCGGCGTCCACAACATCCTCGTCGGTCAGTGCCACCTGCCTTGCCACCTGCCTTGCTCGCTGCCCTGCTTGGAATGCACTGGACTGATCCGTGCATGTGTCTCAGCTCTGGCGAGCTCACTCCAATGGTCCAAAATTATAGTGTCCTTCCGTGTGCGTACATGCGCCCACAAGGTGCCACGGACACCAAAGTTCTGAAGGTGGCATGGGCAACGGACCACCCGGGGTGGGGTGCGGCAGTGGGCCATCGGTGCCATGGGGAGCAGGAAAGGGCTTACTCCCCATGCCCCCTCATTTCATGCACATACCCCTCCTGCATCAGGCGCTGTGGGCATGAATTTTCTGACAGCCCTTTGCGGGCAGGGCAGGGCGTGCCGGTGTTTGACTTGGGCTGTGCACCGTGACCTCACGTGCAAGAGCATCCCCTCTTCTCACTTGCCTCCTGCTGCCCACGTTCCCCCACCAGGCGCCATGGACACAAGGCTGTTGGAGGCGCTGTACTGGGAGGGCGTGGCGGTGGTTGACGGGGAGAGCTGAATGACAACAGACGGCCCGCGGTGGGCCACGCCCGTGGTCGGTTGGTGCCCTGGGGAGCAAGAAACACCATGACTCCGCATGCTCCCCGCCTCTCATGTCCGTTCCACCCCCATATCAGGCGCCATGGACATCAAGTTCCTAGAGGCGCTCTGCTCCCCCTCTCGCAACAACAATCCCACCACGTCTCCCCCCTCCCCCGGTACCCATCCCCCGCCCCCGCCAGGCGCCATGGACACCAAGTTCTTGGAGGCGCTGTGGAGGGAGGGCGTGCCGGTGTTTGACCTGGAGAGCGGCATGACGTCGGACGACCCGGGGTGGGGCACGCCTGTGTTCCACGCCATGGGGCGCGAGAAGGTGACGCTCATCAACGTGTTCCTGTCGCTGGGCGTGCAGCTGCTCATCTGCGACACCGACACCGTGTGGCTCAGAGTGAGGGCGAGGGGGGGTCGCTGCGTTGCGAGTAAGAGGCGTCTGAGAGTACCTGTGTGGCTGCGAGTAAGGGGGGCCTTGGTGTGTGCATGCTTGTGTGGGGTCAGGGGGCCAGGGGTAGGGCCCAGGCGTGCACCTCATCATCTTTCACACCGGCACCGTCTGGCTGCGGGTGAGGGGGGTCTCTGTGGGTGTGTGGGTATGTGTATGTATGGGTTTGTGAGTGGGTGTGTGTATGGGTGCGTGTGTGGGTGTGTGTGTGGGTTTGTGTGTGGGTGAGTGTATGGGTTTGTGTGTGGGTTTGTGTGTGGGTGTGTGTGTGGGTTTGTGTGTGGGTGTGTGTGTGGGTTTGTGTGTGGGTGTGTATATGGGTTTGTGTGTGGGTGTGTGTATGGGTTTGTGTGTGGGTGTGTGTATGGGTACGTGTGTGGGTGTATGTATGGGTGCGTTTGTGGGTGTGTGTATGGGTGTGTGTGGGTGGGTGTGTGTATGGGTGTGTGTGGGTGGGTGTGTGTATGGGTGTGTGTGGGTGGGTGTGTGTATGGGTGTGTGTCGGTGGGTGTGTGTATGGGTGTGTGTATGGGTGTGTGTGGGTGGGTGTATGTGTGGGTGTATGTGTGTGGCACGTGAGCGCATGAGTCAGTCTTTTCCCCCCATTCTCACGTCCCATGTGCACCCTTCCTCTCACAACCCTTTACCCTCGCAGTCACTTATTTTCCCCTTCCCGCCTCCAATCTGCCCCCACCTCCCAGAATCATATACCCTCACACTCTCTCATATTTCCCCCATCCCGCCTCCCAAACGCCCCGCTCCTCCCAGAATCGCCGCCTTTACATGGCTCGATACCCCCAAGCAGGCGGACAACTAGACTTGTGGTTGAACCCCTCACCCCCTTCCTCTCCCCATGTCCGCCTGTGTATCTGATCGATATGCCCTACGTGCCTCACTCCCCCGGTTTTCCCCCATCACACAACCCCTCCCCACCTCCCAACGAGCCCCGCCGCTCAGAACCCGCTGCCGTACATGGCGCGCTACCCCCAGGCGGACGTGCTGACGTCATCGGACCATCTGGTGCGGTCGGTGGACGACGAGTCGCTGGAGCACTGGGACCAGGGTGAGTCGCTGGAGCACTGGGACCAGGGTGAGTCGCTGGAGCACTGGGACCAGGGTGAGTCGCTGGAGCACTGGGACCAGGGTGAGTCGCTGGAGCACTGGGACCAGGGTGAGTCGCTGGAGCACTGGGACCAGGGTGAGTCGCTGGAGCACTGGGACCAGGGTGAGTCGCTGGAGCACTGGGACCAGGGTGAGTCGCTGGAGCACTGGGACCAGGGTGAGTCGCTGGAGCACTGGGACCAGGGTGAGTCGCTGGAGCACTGGGACCAGGGTGAGTCGCTGGAGCACTGGGACCAGGGTGAGTCGCTGGAGCACTGGGACCAGGGTGAGTCGCTGGAGCACTGGGACCAGGGTGAGTCGCTGGAGCACTGGGACCAGGGTGAGTCGCTGGAGCACTGGGACCAGGGTGAGTCGCTGGAGCACTGGGACCAGGGTGAGTCGGTGTGCGCGCTGTGTTCCCATGGTGCGCTGAGGTAGGCGTAGTGGAGTAGAGGGGGAAAGGGGCTTTTGAATGATGAATCGAGTGGGCTCACGCAATGCGACCATCTCGTGCGCTCTGTGGAGCGGGGTGAGTGAACGATGAAGCAGTCGGTTTAGAGTATCACTTTTATTTGTTGCTCTCTCTTATTCTTCCCTCCTCCCCATTCCGCCTTCCCCTCCTCCTCCCCATTCCCCTACTCTTCCTTCCCCTCCTTCTCATTCCATTCCCTCCCCCTGACCCTTTTCCTCGGGATGATCAAACGGCCCGACCCAACCCGACCCGACCCGACCCGACCCGACTTGGGCGGGCCAGCCGGGTTCCGGGTGGGGTCGGGTCGGGTCGGAACATCAAAGATCTCTGGCCCGACCCGGGTATCGGGTGCCGGGTCAGGCTTGACCCGCCCCCGGGTCGGGTCGGGTCGGCGCCGGGTCGGGTCGGGTCGGGCCGACTCCCATAGGCAGGGTTAGAGGTTCTCCTTAATACTGTGCAGGACCTTGGCGAATGACGTTTCTCGAAGCCTTCAGCAGGGGCGCGGATCTAGCGACCTGTGCCTGCACGGCAAGCCGAGATGCCCTAAAACGCGGGCCTGCAATGCGTGCGCCTAGGGAGGGAGCGCGACCTGTTAATTTCGGATTAAAAGGAAACCCTAGACTGGTTGGCGCGAAGTGCGAATAACTTATAAAAAACCAGTACTAACTAAACATTATCGTAGGTTATAGGGTAGATTAGTACGCCAATGTTGCTTGGGGGTGGCTGCTGGCGTCACTAGCTAGTTAACTTAGCTTAATCCAGATCGAAATGCTAGTCGCTGAGAAAACAAGCAAGCGTGATTGCGATCTGGATAACATTGTCGAGAGGAAACCCTCGGGTCGGGCCAGATACCCGACCCGACATAGGGCGCGGTACCCGAAACCGGGTCGAGTCCATAATCGGGTCAAAACCTGACCCGACCCGACCCGACCCGGAATCGGGTCACGAGTCGACCCGACCCGGCCGGGTATACCCGACTCGACCCGGCCGGGTCAGCGGTTCAGAACTCCTGACCCGACCCGGGTCAAAACCCGGGTCGGGTCGGGTCGACCCGACCCGCCGGGGCGAGATGCTCATCCCCCTGTGTAGCCCAGGGGGTATATAGCATTGACACCCTGCATTTATTTCTCTCTCTCTTGTTCCTCTCCCCCCTCCCTTCCCTCTCTCCCCTCCGTCCTCCCTCCTCCTCCCCCCCACCCACTATAGCCCAGGGCACATAGAGCATCGGCATCCTGCACGTCTTCCCCACACGCCTGACAAGGCGGTGAACATATAACTCTTCTGTTGTTGCTCTTTCATCGTCGTCCCTCCTCCGCATTTCCCTCCTCCCCCTTCCCCTCCTCCTACCCCCTGTAAAGCAGGTCACATACAGCATCGGCATCCTGCATTTCCGCCGCACAAACCCGGCGGCAAGGCAGTTAGTGCCTCATCTTTTCACTTCTCATCGTGCCGCTTGTTCACACCCGCTCTTAATCCACCCCACCCCAGGGCGCGTACAACATAGGCATTCTGCACTTTCGCCTCACCTTTACATTCTCTGCTTCTTCTCTCTCCCTGCCCCCCCCCCCCCCCCAATAGCCCAGGGCGCGTACAACATAGGCATTCTGCACTTCCGCCCCACGGACCCGGCAAGGCGCTTTGCGCGCGCGTGGGCGGAGCAGCTGGCTTTGGACGCCAAGGTGTGGGACCAGAACGGCTTCAACGACCTCATGAGGCAGAAGCTGGGCCCCGACGTCAACCCCGACGCCCACGACAACGTCTTCTGGGCGTTCGACGGCTCGCTCAAGCTCGGCATCCTGCCCGTCGCACTCTTCTGCTCCGGCCACACCTACTTCGTGCAGGTGACACACGTGCATGCCCGCATTCACTTGCGTAGACTTGAGTTGATTTGGGTCTCTTCTGAGGCTGCGGATGCTGACTTGGTAGTGCTGTCCCGCTCTGGCCACAACCTGGGGATACTGCCCGTCGCACTCTTCTGCTCTGCTCTGCCCGCACCTACTTTGAGCACGTGAGAATGTGGCAACGCAGGGCAAGAGCACTACGCCATGCATCCTGCTCTCAAGCTTCCCTCTTTCCTCCTGCCTCTTCTCCCCCGTCCACCCCACCAGCACCGGTACCACGTGGGGGGCTAAACGGTTCAGCCGGAACCCTTTTTCCATGCATCGCACTCTCGCACTTCCCGTGCCCCCTTGCCCTTTCCCCCTTCCCCCCCCACCCCCTCTCCCTCCCACCCGCGCCCCTGGGCGGCCACCAGCACCTGTACCGGCGGGTGGGCGTGGAGCCGTACGCCATGCACGCCACGTTCCAGTTCGCCGGCACCAATGGCAAGCGCCACCGCTTCCGCGAGGCCATGGCGTTCATCGACCCCCCGGAGTACTACGACCCTCCAGGTACCGTGGAATGGTGCATGCCATGCCATGAGACGGCTAGTAAAGGGGACAGGCAGGCGCATGGAAAGCGGCAAGCGGCATGGCTTCAGAGAGACCGTGGCGTTGATTGACCCTCCCGAGTACTGTGACCCGCCAGGTGGGGAGCTGAGAATCTAAACAGTGGCCTAGTTATCAGTAATGAGAGTGCGAATTAGTGGGTCAGGCAGGCACATGGCACGCAGACGGACAGCAAGAGGCATTGCTTCAGTTCAGAGAGGCTGTGGCGTTGATTGCCACAGTACTGCAATTCGCCGGTCACAGTGGCCTTAACTTGGTTGAGACAGTGGTTTGTACATGTTCATCCCTGCTTCATTCTGCTGCTTTCATTCAGGCTCCACATGCTGTGTGCGTGGCGTACCTGCCAGGTGGCGTGCTGTCATTCGTTAACAACATTCCGGAGGAGCTGCTGACAGGTGGCGACCACTCTCTGCAGACGCACTTCAGCCTCGTCAACTACCAGGTCAGCTCCCTGCCAGGTCAGCTCCCTGCCAGCCCAGTCAACCAGGTCAGCCAGTGCTAGACGAGCAGCCAAGCAGCAGGAATCAACCTGGTCAACCTGGTCAACCCTGCCAACCTCTAGGCTAGCATACTTATTTTCTCTCACGTGCTGCCACGTGTCATTTTAAGCGGGTGAAAAGTCCCTCGTCTGTCGTTTTCTGCCCTCCACTCATGCAACTATCAGCATCCGTCTCAGACACGGTCCATGCCATCACTCACTAATACTGGGCTCGACTTGAGTCAATTTGACTGATCTCCCTCTTCTATGCTTCCTCTCCTCCGTGCATCCATCGTGCAGCTCGTCAATCTCAGATCAGCGCTCGCCATCGCCACAATACTCAACAGAACACTCGTAAGTCTTTGTCTCACCCGCCCCGCCCCGCCCTGCCCTGCCCTGCCCTGCCCTGCTCCGCCCCGCCCCGCCCCGCCCCGCCCCGCCCCGCCCCGCCCCGCCCCGCTCCGATCCGATCCGCTCCGATCTGCTCTGCTTCGCTCTGCCCTGCTCTGCGCATGCATGTGTTGAAGCGCGTGGGCACGACTTAAAGGAACCGTTTGATTCCCCCATCCAAAACACCTGCGCCCTTCTCCCACCACTGCAGGTGCTGCCTGCCACGTGGGTGCGGTACGATCGCATCTGGTTCCCCCACCCCGGGATACTGGACGGCACCGACACACCGCAGCCGTTCCTGGCGCCCGCGGACCACGTGGTGGAGGTGCAGAAGATGCTGCCCGGCGCACTCAAGGAGGACGAGTTCGGCCCCGCCGTGCCCATCCGCGAGTACTCCTTCCTCGACAACCCACGCACCCCACAAGCGGTGAGTGCTGTGCTCTGCTCTCGCCGCCACCTCTGCCTGGGGCACATTCCACATTCCAGCACACATGCCCCAGCCGTTGCTGCCCCGCGTGGATCATGTGCTGGAGGTGCAGCGCTGCTGCCAGACAGGCAAGCTCAAAGAGGGTGAATTTGGCCCAGCAACGCCAGATCCCCCCCTCACCCCTCCCTTTTTCAAACCATGCCAGGCTCTCCCTGGCTCTCTCACCGCTTCCCCTCTCCCACATCCCTCCCCTCTGCCACCATTGCGCAGGTGCTCAAGTCGAAGCTGGCTGTGCAGCTGTGTGACGAGGGCTCGCCCGACTGCCCCTCCACGCCCGATGGCCCCGCGGACGCCATTCGCATGAAGAAGAACACGCGGCAGAACGAGGTGCCGTGGGGTGGAAAGTGGGAGGGCAGGTGGGTGGTAGGGAAGCTAACGCTCGAGACCCCCACTTTGTGGAGTGGCAAGGCCCGAATGAAGAAGAACGCACGGCACAACAACCTTGAGCATGTCTCGTCCCCACTCCAGTAACCGAGTTTGGGGCGACTTGCTGTATTGAGAGAGAGGCAAGATGGCAGAGCACCAGGCACAACGAGGTGGCTAGATTGAAATGGTTGGGTGGAAAATGGAAGATGACTGGCTGGCTGGCAGGTATGCTGCCGTGCTGCCAATCCAGTCTTTCGTTTCCCCTCATTGATCTTCGCGGCTCCTCTTCCCCTCCACCTCCTACCAACGCACACACTCGTCTCCTTCCCTTTCGCGTCCCCTCCCCCCATGCCACTCATCGTCCCTGCAGCTGAAGGCAGTGCTGTCGCGTTACTCAGACATCAAGTGGATCGAGTTTTCTTCCATGGTGGACTCCTTTGGAGGCTGGGACGACAAGGTGACACAACTGTCCCCTTCGCCTCTCCCTGTTTCCTCTCCTCTTCATTCTCTTCCCATACCCTCTGTGCTTCCCCTCTCCTCTTTTCTCAAATCTAATGTACCATCTCTGTCGTGTGCTGCTGCATGGTATGCGCAGCTACTCATGTCATGTGCCGGCTCTGATGGTATCCCTAATTTGACAACTCAGTTTATGTTGCGTAGGTATGTTTTCTAGTCGACTCAGATCTCCTCCATCCTCTGTCCTCCTGTGGGCGCTTTGCATGGCTGGGTGGGCAGGCCATGGAGAGGAAGTTCAGATGGCGGCTGCGGCAGTATGTGGGCATCTGGTGCTGCGTCAATGCACAGCCAGGTATGGTGCACAGCCAGGTATGGTGCACAGCCAGGTACGGTGCACAGCCAGGTATGGAGCACAGCCAGGTACGGTGCACAGCCAGGTACGGTGCACAGCCAGGTACGGTGCACAGCCAGGTACGGTGCACAGCCAGGTACGGTGCACAGCCAGGTACGGTGCATAGCCAGGTACGGTGCACAGCCAGGTACAATGCATAGCCAGGTACGGTGCACAGCCAGGTACGGTGCACAGTGAGGTATGGTGCACAGCCAGGTACGGTGCACAGCCAGGTATGGTGAAAAGCCATGTACGGTGCACAGCCAGGTACGGAAGACCCAGGTATGGTGAAAAGCCAGTTACGGTGAATAGCCATTTACGGTGCACAGCCAGGTACGGTGCACAGCCAGGTACGGTGCACATCCAGGTACGGTGAACAGCCAGGTATGATGCACAGCCAGGGATGGTGAAAAGCCAGGTATGGTGAAAAGCCAGGTATGGTGAAAAGCCAGGTATGGTGAAAAGCCAGGTATGGTGCACAGCCAGGTATGGCGCACAGCCAGGTATGGCGCACAGCCAGGTACGGTGCACAACCAGGTATGGAACAAAGCCAGGTGCGGTGCACAGCCAGGTATGGTGCACAGCCAGGTACGGAGCACAGCCAGGTATGGTGCACAGCCAGGTACGGTGCACAGCCAGGTATGGTGCACAGCCAGGTATGGTGAAAAGCCATGTATGGTGAAAAGCCAGGTATGGTGAAAAGCCAGGTATGGTGAAAAGCCAGTTATGGTGAAAAGCCAGGTGTGGTGAAAAGCCAGGTATGGTGAAAAGCCAGGTATGGTAAAAAGCCATGTATGGTGCACAGCCATGCCATGCCACACCTCTTGCTGCTCTGCATGCACCCACCCCACACATCGTGGGCACGCTTAGCTTTCCTGCATGCCCTGGATGCCATCCCGAGTGAAAGACATGTGGTGTTTCAACCGCATCTTACATGAGCTCACCATGTCCCCCCCTGCCCACTCCGTACCCTTCCAGGCCGCATCTGGTGCGATTGCTTCAACAATGAAATCTCCACATGTGCCTGGGTGGGTGGAAGCCTCTGATTCTAGACCTGCAAATCACTCGAATCACCATGGCGTTCCTGTCTCCCCCCTGCCCTGCCTGTCGCCGTGCAGGGCACATCTGGTACGACTTGTTCAACGATGAGATCCCGGGGTGGAAGCCAAGGCCGCCAGCCAATTGGACAGAGGACCACCCGCCATGGGGCAAGGACCAACCGGGTGCCTTATGACTAGCACAGGCCCTGTGGCGGCTGCTGCCCTTCTGAGTTGATTTGAGAGTTTCAAGTCAACTAGAAGGACCACCCTCCATGGGGCAAGGGCCAAGCGGGGACAGAAGGGTTTGTCTGGAACAAGCTGGCCGTTCTGGCGAGTGTGTTTTTGAGGAGCTACGGATGTCGCAAACGGGAGAGAGAAGAGAATTCGTCCTGAACAAGAACCAATACGGTAACAAACGGGTACCGTAGTCCTTTCGCATAAGGGAATATCTTTACCTGTGTGCTTGGGAACAAAACGGGATGAACAAGTGTACCTGCCCCATCTGTTCCTTGCTGAATAAAGCACATTGAAGAAATTACAAGTGGCTTTTTCTATACACCGCAGTCTAGTTTAGACACATTTGGTAAACGCCTTGCCAAATCGAGAGAAAAATATAACTGTAATGTAGCTTCAAGAATGTTTAAACCGAGCTTCAGGAAGCAGGCACAGCCTCTTTCTTCTCGGCACCAGACGTGGCCGCAGGAACAGCCTGTGCTGATGGGGCGGGTGTGGGCAGCCCCACCAGCTCCTGCATTGGCTTCCAGTAGAACTTGCGCCTGCACACGCACACCCACCCAGCAGGCACCACCCTCAGGTCAGGGTACGCCGTGAGCTGCACAAGCTGAGGCAGCTATGGATTACATGCCTCCCACAGTGATGAATCAACGTGCTGTGCTGTGTTTGGTACATGTAATCGAGTGCGTTCCGGCAGGAATGACGCTGTGACATTCAGACTCATGAGTAAAAATTGATTCAGGGGAATGAGGCAGGTGCTGCTGATGGCCAGGGCAGGGGGGGGGGGGGGGGGGGGGGGGGAGCACTCACGAGTAGCCCATCTCCACGACCACCTTCACGTTGGGCCGCAGCGCTGGCAGCAGTGTGAGGAACTGCAGCTCGTTCTTCGCCAGCACCTGCATGCACACATGCACACGTGCCAGCCAACAACACACCCACCATCAGCGCACGGCCGCAGCACGTGGCATTGACAGCACATGCACAGGAATCGCCTGAGAAAATAGCCATTGCAATGGGCGAGCTATTCTCTCAGACCCTCAACGCTCCGCGGACAGATTCCCATGCCATTGCGCTTCCCATGCCATAGCGCTTCCCATGCCATTGCGCTTCCCATGCCAAAGCGCTTCCCATGCCATTGCGCTTCCCATGCCAATGCGCTTCCCATGCCATTGCGCTTCCCATGCCATTGCGCTTCCCATGCCATTGCGCTTCCCATGGCCACTGCTGCGTTGGCACGAGCAGAGGCGCATGTAGCCCGTGAACCAGGGGACAAGCCCCGCAGGCAAGTGAAAACAGCAAGCACGGCCCACCGACCGACCGTCCTATTCTCCGATCCCTCGTAGCATTCCCAGCCGTCGCAGCACCATCACACATCAATTCGCGACTGCCCCACACCAGTGCGCGACTGCCTCACACCAGTGCGCGACTGCCTTACGCCAGTGCGCGACTGCCTTACGCCAGTGCGCGACTGCCTCACACCAGTGCGCGACTGCCTTACGCCAGTGCGCGACTGCCTTACGCCAGTGCGCGACTGCCTTACGCCAGTGCGCGACTGCCTTACGCCAGTGCGCGACTGCCTCACGCCAACCACGAACGGCATAGCTGGGGGCTTCAGCGCCACACGTCAGTGCCGTGCCCGCGTCGGCACCACCCAGCGTGCGGTCATCCCCGTTCGCCCCTCCCCCCGCCAGCCCCACGCAGACCCCGAAGGAGCGACGCGACGCACCTTGGCCTCGCCGATCCAGAGCACGAGCCCCTTGTACTTGGGCGGCAGCACGGCCAGCCGGTGGTCCACCTCGGGCGGCAGGTAGAACCGCGCCACCGCTTGCCGCCCCAGATGCGGCTGCCCGCGCGCGAGAGGCACAAGGCGGGTGTGGAAGAGAAGGGGGGGAGGGGGGAGGAGGGGGAGGGGGGAGGTGGGTGGAAGGGGAGGAAAGATGGGGAGGGAACGCGGATAGGGAGAGAAGGCGGAAGTGGACGAGTAAGGGGTTGCGGCTGGGCGGGGTGGCGCTGCAGTACGACAGCAACGACACGGCTATGCCAGTCTGCCACGCGACCACACAAAATCTTACGAGCGCGCATGAGAACCCTCGAGAACACACGAGAACACTCAAGAGGACACACGAGGGGAAGGGATGCACAACAGGCGTTTCTACGAAAAAACGTGCTCGCCTGTCCATCAATCAGCAGCTACGCGCTGGCCACCATAGCGGCGCGTGAATGGCGACTCATGCAGCCGCTGATGAGAGGGAGACCGCAGTGCGACCGCGACACCGCTCTCTCTCAGCGATGCAACGCTCTTACTGAGCGATGCACCGCGGCATTGACAATGCAGCCGACGGCCACGAGCAACAGATCCCGCGTGAAACACGCACCGGGCGGACGCCATGGGTCTTGAGGAGGTACGCCTCGGGGTCGCCGAGGCCGCGCGCCGAGATGTTCATCATGTGGTAACCCGCGTACTTCAGACTCGTAGCATAGCGGCCCTCCGCGCCGCCCTCCGGTGGCGAATAGAAGCCGACCGCGCCGTAGCGCTCGACGTCGTCTACCCATTGGCCGAGATCCAGCCCGATGAGATCGCCGCCGATGAAGTCGTCCAACCCGCATGTCACCACGCCGTGAGAGGCGCTCTGCGAGGGTAGAGCTAGTCTAGAGGTCTTGGCAGCTGCGACCTGCGACCGGGAGGTGGTCGCACGAAGGCCGCTGAATGACACGGCGTCGCATTGCAACAGCCTTGCTGATGCTGACCTGGACGAGAATTGCCGACTGCTTGACTTTAAGCAGGCGGATGGGCAAGGGATGGTCGCCATGGCTGTGCCTATGGTAACTGCGATGACAGGTGACTATCTCCCGTAGGTGACGGTTGTGGTTCCACTTGGAAATCTCCGTAGTGGTGCTCCAGTGCCGCGTGGTGGGGTGGCGGGTTGAACTGGAGAGAGTGGGTTGCGCGTGAAAACGGGGAAGGAAACCAAAGGACAGGAAAGCGGGACAAGGGAGAAAAGCCCAGAAATGATGACCACGGATTGGGGGAGAAGCGTCCTACGTGGCAAGCCAGCAAGAGAAGTGGTGCGGAGGTGGTCTGAGCTGATCCAGACCCATTACAAATCTCCAGGCCAGTGTCCCCAATATCGAGTAGTCATGAGGGTTTGTTACCGTATGAATAACAGCTAAAGCGTATACATTTGCAAGGTATAGAAAATTCTGGGGTTTGACGATATTTTTTTCCTTGTGCAAAAATAAAAAAGCTCTATTTTATATGGATTAAGTTTAATACTGTTGAAGTATGAAGGGAAATATACTTAGCATTCACATATGTGCAGCAGTATTGCACATGTCACTATCGAAGCAGCGCTAGCAGCAGCATCAGATCAACCCGTACCAAGGGCAGGAAGGTCAACAGTCGCAAAGTCAACTGTCGCGACTGTTGACCATCTGGACCGACGGTTGACTTACCATCGACGAATGGCAACAGGCGTAATCGTACGCACCGGTTACATGCAGCGACTCGGTAACAAGAAAGAAGTGGAATAGTCATAGCCACTATAAAAATGCCAGTAAAGCAGTTTGAATAAGGAATGTAACTCTCAGAATACATGTATAGCTAACTATTTATCATGTGTGTATTCTTTGTTTTAATCAACTTTGTCATTTACATTCACTATTATCAGAGTTTCTACCACAAAGAATTCCGCTACCGAACTATTTTAAGGCATTCCTATCCTATTCAAGATCTTCACTCTGACATGGTATCAGAGCAAATTTGGATTATAGGAACTGCTAAAGGGGCTTAAAAAACAAGCTTCTTTCATAGCTTAAATCTTAGACCAAGGACAACATCATGCCCAGCACAACCCTCCACCAATGTCCTTTCTACCACAACGACCGTGGATACAGCGCTCCTCGAGCAGCTAATCTCCCACATCACCGCCATGTAAAGCCAACAGCCGATGAGCATTGACGGCTCCAGCTACGCTCGAAGACCTCCCGATCCCCAAAGAGCTGAATCGGAACGATCCTTCACCTTCGACAACCGCGGAGCCCAAGGATCTCCACAAGCACAACAGACGCATTACGAAGCAATGATGTCAATGCAGGGCAAGTTCCTATCAACATCGAAGCTCAGGACAACAAAACCCTTTGACGGTCAATGCTTCTACACCTAGAGCTTCGAATTCGAGCTACTAGCTCAAGGCGCTCAGATCTGGATGTATTACGACGGGTCGTACGCATTTGCGACCAACTCACCTCAGGAGAAAACGCAACGAATCCGTCCTGACCTTCACCGTCTTGATTCGGAATCTTTCGCCCGAAGAACAGTTGAGCATTCGCCCTTCAAGAACGAGTGGGCACCCGCGCAACAGTCCTGGGAACACCTGCGCACCTGCCACATGGCAACGGACTCGGTGACACTTAGTCGCCTGCTCAACCAGCTGAGCAATGTCAAGATGTTCCCCAGTGAAAAGGCCGGACCATACATCAACCGCTGCAGGAACCTGAGAGACCAGTTCAGGAAAAGCGGCGGCAACTTCCCTGAGGACATGTTCGTCACCATCATTCTCGCTGGATTGAGCCCGGAATGGCACCAATGCAAGTCGCTCCTTCGTACTCAAGGGACCCTCCGTGAAACTGCCCTGTGTTCCACGCTCCTTTGCGAACAGAGGGAGATCGACCTGTACAACGAAAGAGGTGTCAGAGGTCCACTGGTGATCCCCGATCGATCCTAGGGAAGGGTTACAGGCACGGCGGCCTGGGGGGTTATGGGCGCACTCACCCGCTACGTAAATAAGCCCTTTTATCCCAGTGGTTAGTGGCTGGGATTCTGACATGGTATCAGAGCGAAGGTCTCGGGTTCGAATCCCGGTGTGTGCACTTCGGGCATCCCAGTGCGGGGGCGTGTCAGAGGTTCACTGGTGATCCCCGATCGATCCTAGGGAAGGGTTACAGGCACGGCGGCCTGGGGGGTTATGGGCGCACTCACCCGCTATGTAAACAAGCCATTTTATCCCAGTGGTTAGTGGCTGGGATTCTAACAAGAGGCAACAAGAAGGAGAAGAGTGCTTTCCACGTGCAAGCGCCACCGGACAAGAAAAGACTCTTCTGCAAGTACTGCAAGAAGACTGGGCATATGATTCAAGACTGCCGAAAGCTGAACGGCAATAACAACAACATCCAGAGGGGTGCCGCTACTCACCAGCAAGCAGGAGCTACATCACGCAACCAGACAGTGTCACCACCAGCCGTCGCCAGCACGTCTCAAGCTCCGACGCGTGTTTCTGCGAACACAAACGACAAGGGCAAAAGCAAGGTCTTGGCTTGCATGGTGCGTCGGGGACCGCCTCGCCCAAACCGACACTACCGCTTCTTCCGCAGCTGGGAGGACATGTTCGCAGACCCGCCTCAGGAGCGACGCGAAGGATCGGTTGAAGACGAGGAAGAAAACGATACGACGTACGACGAGCTGACAGTCTGACGGATGCAGTACAACTAGGAAGCACCGTAGTGGATCCAGGAATCTCCACCTGCACGCATCGCGTACGACGAAGAGGGATGTTACTACGACTACAAAAGGGAACACGGCATGGAACATCATATCACACCGAAGATCGCAAATCTCGCCAAGGCAAAGGAGGAGGTTAACATATGGTACCTGGACCGTTGCTGCAGCCAACACATGGTGTCATCAAGCGTCTTCATCCTCAACAGCGAAGCACTCTTAAACGAGGTGGAGATCACCGTCGTCAACAGCCAGACAATTTAGGCCAAGAGCCGCGGTCAAATCCAACTGGAGTCACACGACACCGCCTACTGCATCCACATCACCGACGTTCTTGTCATGCCCAAGCTCCAGTACAACCTCCTATCCCTTGATCAGCTGATGAAGTGCGGAGTGAGAAGAAAGAGGGATGAATGACTAAGGAAGAAGTGGGTACAAGTAGGAAACCTAGAAGTGTTGTACCCTATAGTGTCTACCCCACTACAGCCTAGATAGACTATAGCATATGAGTTTGACAAACCCCCATAGGCAAAGTGGGGGAGAACAAGGGGTCACAAGACCAGTCAAGCAAAGCAAAGCAAAGCAAGCTCAGGGTGGATCACAACGTCACCACACATTCCGAGCACAGGTTCAAAGGACAAGGCCAGTTCACATGCAGGATTATATATAAAGGTAAACATACAGGTGCAGGTATATATAGATCACAGTACAAGCAAAGTCAAGAGGTAAGCAAGTGAGGCCAAGTAGGCACAAGACCTAGCATAGTACAGAATCGCTGATGATCACAAGGCTGAAGTGCCTTGGTGAAGATATCAGCAGTGTTGGCCTGAGAGGCCACGTAAGCAAGGCGCAGCTGACCACGCTGCTGCAGCTTACAAGAAAGGAAGTAGCGAAGCGCAATGTGCTTCGTTCTGTGCTCCAGTCTGTGCTCCCGACACAAGGCCAGCATGGCCTTGTTGTCTACGTACAGAACTGGAGGAGAACGAGGCGGCTCTCCCAGGTCAGTCAGCAGGTAGGTGAGCCAGCGTAACTCCTGTGCAGCCATGGCCCCTGCGTAGATCTCAGCCTCATAGCTGGAGCTGAGAATAGAAGACGAGCGGGTAAACCGCCACGAAACAGAGCCGGAACCAAGACTGAAGGTGTAACCCTGTGACGACCGCTGCCTAGCCAGGTCGTCAACCCAAGACGCGCCTGCGTGACCAGTGAGGACCACTGAACTCCGCCCTCCAAGCACGAGCCCCATGCCCGACGTACTGCACAAGTAGCGCAACACCCTCTTTGCTGCAGCCATGTGCTCTGGTCGGTGTCTCCCAGGAGCAACATAGCGTGCCAAGATGCTAAGAGGGTATGCCAGGTCAGGTCGAGTGCAGGTCATCAGGTACATGAGGCAACCAACAAGCTCTGGGTATGGGCCACTCGGCTCTACGGACTCATCCGAAGGCAGAGCTGAGAGCGAGTGGCGAGTAGACAGAGGAGTGGCCTGAGGCGAGGAGTACGTGAAGTCGAAGCGCTGAAGGACCTGCTGCACCATGTGTGACTGAGTCAGGGTAATGTTGCGCCGTGCTTAGTCCCGGGTGATCTGCAAGCCAAGATAGCTGCGCAGTTCACCCAGGTTTGTGCACGTGTGTCTCTTCTGCAGCTCGGACTTCACGTGGGCGAGTCCAGCAGTGTCAGCAGTAGCAAAGACCAAGTCGTCGACGTACACGAGGATGTAGAACGGCGGCAAAGAGGTGTCGGTGCGTAGAAACAGCGACGGGTCGGCAGTAGAAGGAGCAAACCCAAGTGCCGCAAGTGTAGTCCTCAGTGTGTCGTGCCACTCACGGGGCGCCTGGCGGAGACCGTAGACTGGCCGCCGGAGGCTCCACTGGGTACCAGGAGGAAACGACCCAGTGAAGCCAGGTGGGCGGCGCAGCCAGATCTCCTCGTGCAGGCTGCCCTGTAGGAAAGCAGTGCTGAAGTCAAGAGAGTGAAGCTCGTAGTTGCGCTGAGCGGCTATGTGCAGCAGTACCCAAAGAGTGGTCATCTTCGGGGTGGGAGAGAAGGTCTGAAAGTAGTCAACTCCCTGCCGCTGACTGAAGCCTCGAGCCACGTAACACGCCTTAAAGACAGGCGGAGAACCCGGCGGCCGCTTCACCCTGAAAATCCACATGCCACTGACGATGTTCGCCCCAGGTGGGGGAACCTCGCCGACGTAGGTGCCTGTGGACTTCCAGGAAGCCATCTCTGCGTCCATGGCTGACTGCCACTTAGAGGAGTAGGGACCCTCTATCGCCTCTGCGTAAGAGCGCGGGGTCGGGATGTCTGGTGCATACGGGT